GAGGCACAGCCTAAGCCATCCCCTGAGTCCCCACCCTCCTCTTTTGGCTCCCACTCCTGCTCCCTGGGGCCACCTCCCCGACAAACCCAGTGCTTACTGTCCTCTCCTGCCCTGATGTCAGGGGCTTCTCCAAAAAAAACAATGGGACTTTGAATGTGGCAAACAATCAAACAAAAGCCTTTTGAGGTATGACAAATGCCAGGAAGGAAATGGGTGACTGCTGTGACAGAGCACAGCAGGGAGCCCGACTTCAGAGCACCCTCTGGAACATGGTGAAGGCTGGGGCCAGAGGAGGTGGGAGGGGGCTCTCGGGGCAGAAAGGCAGGTGCCGAGGTGCTGGGTGGGAACTGGCTAGGGGTCTTCTAGGCCAGGGCTGAGGGCGCTGGTGGGGTGGGGTGCAGAGGTGGGCCGAACTGCCCTCTTGGCTGCTGTGTCAGCCAGGCTTCTCCTGAGAAGCAGAACCAATAGCTGCACAGCCAGTTATGACGGGAATTGGTTCTTAGGATGATGGAGGCTGAGAAGTCCCACGATTTGCTGTCTACAGGCCTGAGGAGGCCCAGGAGAGATGGTGGTGTTATTCTAGTCCACTCACAGAGCCCTGAGAACCAGGAGTGCCCCGTCCCAGCTCAAGCAGGGAACAAATCTACTCTACCACTTCCTAAGGCCTGCTCTGCCAACCTCAATGAACTGGACCATGCCCGCTGTATTTACTCAGCCTGCTGACGCTCGTCTCTTGCAGGGACATTGTACATCACCAGCTCTCTGGGCAGCCCTAGCCCTGCCAAGATGGCGCCTAAAGTGAACCACCACAGCTGCCCTGTGGAATAAGCTGGGGACCTTACAGCCCTTGCCCCGTGCAGGTGCCATGTATCTGAGGAGCTTGGGCAGCAGCTGTTCTTTGAGGCCCTGTGTGTCTCATTGGGCTACAGGGAGGCTGTGACACCTGCCTCACCTGCAATCCGACCATCCTGCCATTCAGGTGTCCGTCTTACAGATGAGGCAACTCGGCCATACACTGAGGTTTAGCCATATGCTCAAGGCCACAGGGTGGGCACATCCATCCAGGAACTTGAACTTGATCGGCTGAGTCCAAAGCTGGCACTGCCACCTCCTCCGTCCTGCATGAGGTTTTGTCAGGCATGCTGGTATCAGCAGTAGCTGTGTCAGCTGAGGCACCTGGGGACACAGGTTTTGATGGTGGCAAAGGAGAACCCTCCAACCCTTCTCCCCTTGTCAACCAGAATCTGGCTTGCTCTTCCAGAGGTTAGTGGCTTGGGAAGGCCTGGAAGATACCAGCAGGAACAGAGACGGGGCAGGCTGAAGGCCAGGGCCACGGGAGGAGGCAGGGATGGAATTCGGGCCTTGGGAACTTGGCTCCGTCCACCCAACACACATTTACAGGCAGCCACATGTCAGACCTGTGCCTGGCTGCTGGGGGACCCAGTCAAATTGGACACAGTCGCTGCCTGGGGTAAAGCTGCTGGGAAGGAGGCTGAAAGAAAAAAGCCTGGTTCCCAACAGGCTGTGATCTGTAATCGCTCTTTGCCATTGCAACACCACCTAGCTGAGGGCCTCAAGATGACTTTTAGGGGTGTAAGAGCACAGACTTGGTCTAGTCCCAACAGTGGGTTGCTTTTTGCTGCCAGTGCTTCTGATCCCCTCAGAGAGTCTCAATGAGGAGCTAGCAAGCTCTGAACTTCTGGTCTCCCCTTTCAACAGGGAAAGCAAGGCAGGGCCAATCTGTGGCAAGGAACGGGTGGGACCTTGTGCAACTTAATTGTATGGTTTTGCTTTTATTGTGTTTGTTTTTATGATACCTTTGATTTCTGGCAAGTGTAAAGGGCCAAAAGGTGATCATCCTGAAAAGACATACCCATGTCCCGATCTCAGGCCCCTGCGAATGTGACTTTATCTGGAAATAGGGTCTTTGGAGTTATCACTAAAGATCTTGAGATGAGATCATCCTGGATCAAGGGATGCCCTAAGCCCAAAAGCTGGTGTTTTAAGAGAAAGGAGAGGTGGACTGGACATAGACACAGGCAAGAGGCAATGGGAGATGGAGAGAAATGTGACTTGCCCCAGGGGTCTCTGCAGTCAACCGAAGCTGGAGAGAGGACGGGATGAATTCTGCCCCAGCCTCCAGAAGTCTGTGCCCCTGAATCTGCACTGCAGGCCTCTAGGGCAGAGACAGAGGAAGTTCCTAGCATGTGAAGCCCCCGTTAGTGATTATTGCTGCCCCTGGGAAAGGAATGCAGCAAGTGCTGCTGGCTTTCTGTTTCCAGAGGCAAAGCCCCCCTTCTTAGATAAGCTCAATTTAAAATGTGAGTTAAAGTGACTGATGGCTGGGTGTGGTGGCGCATGCCTGTGATCCCAGCACTCCAGAGGCTAAGGGAGATGGCTCGCTATGAGTTCAAGGCCAGCCTGGACTACCAGGTGTTAGACAGGTGTGTGTCTGGTGGGCACAGCTGCTCTTGCAAAGGAAATCAGGCTAAACTGGTGGCAGTGGCATGGGGGTGGGGCTAAGGGGCAGCGCCTTGTGTCTAGGGGTTCCACTGGCCCAGCTGGAGCTGGCCGAGGGCAGAGGAGCACCCTCTATGAATTTCTGGGAAGCCCCACGTGTCCAGGGATTCAGAACCATCTGCCTTTGGAGAAAAGCACTTGAGGGTTTCGTTCCAGAGCCCTGAAGCGCCAGAAGAATCAGGACAGGATGGGAAGGGGGTTTCCAGCAGTTGCTGGAGGCAAATTAGTCTTCCTTTCTTGTGTGGGACTCAAGGTTGGTGGAGCCTGGGATGCAACCACCTGCTCTCACCTGCCCCTCATGCTTGGTGCTGTCAGGATGCAGCGGAGCAAGGCTTCCCTCCTGGTTCCCCGATGGGACCTTGCCAGCCCCTGGGCAACAGCAAGATCTGCTGACCCACGGTGGGTCACTTCTGGCTGGGGTTGGGTGGGGCATACAACATGCTCTGGAAGAATCAGAGACTTAGGTAAAGCGACCCTCAGCTGCTAAACACCCCACGGGCAAGTTCTAGATTTGGACCTGGGTTGGTGTGTTCATCAGCTTTCTGTTACTGGAGCAAACACCTGGGAGAATCAAATTACAAAGAAGAAAGGTTTCTTTTGGCTCACAGTTTTGGAGGTTCCAGTCCATGGCCTGTTGGCTTCACTGCTTTGGGCCTGTGGTGACACATCATGGCAGGAGGATGTGGTGGAGCAAAGCTATTCGCTTCATGGCCAAGAACAGGAGAGAGAGGGAGAGGAAGGGGTGGGGTTCCACTGTCCCCTTTGAGGGCACATGCCAGCCTCCTAAGGTTTCATAACCTCCCAACAGCAGGAGGCTGATGAACCAGCCTTGAAGACATGGGACTTTGGGGACACTCAGGCCCAAACCAAGGTGGCCAGGGGAAACTGTCCCTGGGCAGGTCTGATGCCAAGAGACCCAAGTGCTGAGCACTCTGAGCGAGCACTCTGCCTGTGCACATCCCGAGTTCCAACAACCTCCAAGGCCAGCACTGGCTGCTCCTGTGCTCTCTTAACAGGTGAGCAAACCCAAGCACACAGGGAACCTGGCCCAGGCTGCGTAATGGTAAGGGGCCCACAGGAACTCAACCGGGGAACCCTGGCTCCCAAAGAAGAGGCAGGCTTTTCTCTAACACCTGGAAGGACAGAAGAGGAAAAAAAAGCCATCACTACTGAGCATCTACTGTGTGCACAAGGCGGTGCACAGGACACTCACTGTGGCTCTGGACTCTACATGAGAGTTCCAGGTGATTTCAACAAAAGCCACACAAGTCTATGGAGTGCTGCTTCGCTTTCTTGTCACAGCCCAGGGACACATGTACCAGCAGTGGGCCTGGGGCTGCACAGAGGGTCCTGTGGGAGGCTGGGGAGCCCACTGGGGCTGTTTCCCCATCTGTGTGTAGGCCAGGCTGACTGCAGAGTGCCCTTGCAGACAGCTGCTGCCCTCTGGCCTCTCTGGGTCTCCTGGGGCCCAGGGGCCCAGGGCTGGCCCTTGTCTGGAGATGGGAGGGAGGTGGCTGAGATCCCAGCTGCTGGCCACTGGTTTTGCCCACCCCAAGGGCATCTTTCACTTTCTCCTCAGAATCCTTCCAGCGAGTGTCTTTTTCTACACTAAGTGAATGCCCGTATGCACAAAGCAGGGCTGCTGCGGGGGTGGAGGAGGCTGCAGGTGGGGCCCTGGCCCGGTGTCAGGCACCTAGCTGATACCGCCTGTGGTGACCATGCCCGAGGGCAGAGTGGGCCCCAACCCCAATCAGGGGGTCCTCAGAGCCTTGGCAGACTCAGGACTCATGGCCAGGTTTCCTGGGAACTGCCTGGAAACAGTCCTGGGCCAGGAGGGCAAGGGTCCCTGCTGGCTGCCAGCTTGAAGTTGGGAAGGGAGGTGGCCTCATGCTGGTCCTAGTCTCAACCGTTTGCATGAGGAGGCTGCCCTGCTTGTTCTTTTAAGTTCCCTTGCAAGACCTAGAAGTCTCCAGCTGTTTTGGGGCCTGGTTTAAACCAGAGCATCAGAGGTTTTAGAGAACCTGAGATCCTGTTTCCAGGGTTCATGCTGGTATGTGCCGGCCTGTTGTCACCTGACACTGTGACAGAGTGAAGCCATCCCCACTCCCCTCATCTCAGCAGCAGACCATCCACACTGCAGCCGCTGGCTATGCCTGTCCTTCGAGGTAGGGCTGTGATGTCCCATTCCATCAGAACTGCAGGCTCCCAGTGGGTGCTACCTGCTCAGCAGGTGAGAGATGCAGAATAGCACAGGACCCTGCAGCTCCCTGCACCTGACAGGGGCGGGGTCCTTTCTGAATAACTGGCATACACCTGACCTGCCCCACTGACCTCCTGCAGACCTGGGTGGGATGGGGAGGGGCTCCAGCCACCATACCCCACTGAAGCTGCTGCAACAGGACATGGTCAGTGGTGGAGGACCTTCACTTTGCCAGGTCAAGGCCTCCTGCCACAGCACTGAGGAACCGTGTGCCACATTCTTGGTAAGTTTTTTCTTCTTTTATTGCCAAACTCAAATTTATACACAAGTTCCAGTTTTTATTTCCACCCTCGTGCTCAGTACCCAGGAAGCATGAGTCACTCAGGCAAAAGCAGGTACTTCCCTAGGATGGCCAGAAGTGCTGAGATTGCTCAACTCCCGCTCCTCCCTGGGACAAGAGCTATTTACGTATTTTCAGCTCACAGGGACAGAAGACAACTTTACAGGTTATGCTCGACAGTAACATCATTACGTTACACATTTCATATTTATTGCATCTAGAAAAGATCAGAATTGGTTTGCCAGTGCCTTTTTAAAAACAGTGCATCTTGGAGGCCTCACAGAAACTCAGTGCCTGTCTTTAGGAGGTGTATTTTGTCACCCATGCCTGGAACGCTATGCAGGCATCTGGATGATGGTGGTGAAGGGGAGCTGCCTCCTGCACGTAGAGAAGCCAGGCAGGGCAGGCGGCAGGGGGCCTGCTCCTCTGTGGCTCCCTCTTCTGAGGGAGTGCACCTTTCCCTGTAGGGGGTACCCTGGATGCCCAAGCCTCTAAACCAGAAAGCGATGTGCAACTTTCAAAGCAGAGAGGTTTGGGGATTCAGCGGCAAATACTGCTAGGCAAGCCCAATGGGCCCGGCCGTGGACTTGGGAAGGTGACCAAGCAGGCCACAGTGCTCTCTGTAGGACTTGGAGGTGGTGGATGGGTGGGTGCTGGAGGGCTCACCCCAGATGCCTGTGCAGGACCTGCAGGCAGGAGCTGTGGCCCTAGCAATGGGGTTGCTCAGACCCCTGACCCTACTGAGAGGTCTGCCTGTTGTCTGGGCTGGCTGGTGTGGGGTGCTCCTAAACACACAACCGTGTCCACCATCACCAAGAAGACCTGGGTGAGGCAGGTCCTTCATCAGAGCCCAAGGGGCCAACTGCCACCTCTACCATGAGGCCAGCTAGAGCCACTGATTTCAGGCAGCAGTTGGTGGTCCCAAGAAGGGGCCCACCTGCATGGGTTTCAATCCTTACGATGCTGGGCAGGGGATCACTGCTTTCTCTCATCTCTGCTGTGCCAAAGGAGTCATTCCAAAGCCAGAAGGACATGGCTCTGGGGCTTCTGCTCCATGTCGACCTGCCTCCCTCTGAAAGATCAGGCAGAACACATGGCCTGCAGCTGGATGACATGGGCCTCTCCCCAATGACCGTGTCTTTCCTCCCACCTGACTGCACAGACCTGTTCCCAATGGCTCCTCAGATAAACAGAGATCGCATCAGCTGCAGGTGAGGCTGGATGCCGGTCCCTGATTGGTGGGGGCACTGAGTGGGGCGTGGCCGGCTCTCAACTCCATGTGGACCTGAGAGTTTGTGTATCTCCTCCATTGTGTTTAAAAAGAATCTAAATTTCTCAGGAAAGTATGTTATCATTCCACAGGCGTGCAGAGTTAGTAACAGAGAAAGAATAATCATTTAAGAAAGTGGAGAAACCAAGAACTCTAAGACAAGACGTTGACAAATTCAAGGGAAAACGAAACCTTAACAGTATCATCACACTTTCAACATGACATCAAACCCTGGCGTTGAGGACTTTTTCCCCCCAAATAGGTGCTTTTTAAATAAATGCTTTTTAATCTGCTGCCAAAACCAGAAATAAATAGCCAAAAGAGACGTTGATCTAAGGTTGCTTTTCTACAGCTTGCTACCCAAAGTGACCTTGTCCGTCCGATTCTTCTGTGCACACGGAGGTGACAGGAACTGCCTGATGGAAGGGAGGGGTGCCGGTGGGTCCAGCCACCTGGGCTGCTGGGCTCCTTGAGGCAGCCATGGATGTCATCTGCATCCACAGACCCAAGACTGTTCTTAAAGAGGTCCCTACCAGCGGGCCGCATGCACAAGAGGAGGACTGGTGCCCGTTCAGTGCTTGGAGAGGCCTGCAGGCTCCACACATGCAGCCTCCTCGTCTGGGCTCTCTGGGCACGTTGTGGTTGGTGTGGGAGGCTGGGGGAGGCCGGTGAGGGTGTGGAGGCTATGGGGATCGACTGGGGGGACCAGGGTCAGTGACTCGACGCTCAGTGTGTCAGCAGTGTCCTCATAGAGCAAGGAGATGGTAGGCTGTGGAGCGGGGAGCAGGCTGGGGGACAGGTGTGCTGTCTCCACCTCTGTGCACCTGGCTGAGTTCTTGCTGGGCTTGGCTTCTGCTTCCATTTCATTGATGATCTCCAACTGGTCAGGAAGGTGAGGCTGAGGCTGTTCTGGAGTTGTGGGGGCGTCTAAGTGGCAGAGAAAAAGCAGGGACAGACTCAGGCCCGGCAATCCTGTGTTCAGGCTGGTAAACTCTGCTCCCATCCTGAACTGGGGCCAGGGAAACCTGGGTGGCAGATGGCTGGTGTGGGGCACAGCCTGGCTCTACTCCTCCTGGAGACACAGGCACTAAATCAAGTCTTACTCGTCTGGGGAAGGTGTGTCAGGGCCCAGGGTCCCCTGATTTGTGGTACCAGGGAAAAACTGGGGGGTCATGCAAAATTAACACGTGTGTTAAGAAAGCACAGCTGCTCAGAGCAGAGGCCCAGGCAGACTTTGTGGATGGGCGAGTCTGGCACTGTTGGCCTTATGACAAAGACATGATTAAGGAGTAAAGGGGTTCAGGTATGCCTATAACTTCAGGCCAGGTCCAGAGTCTGCAGTGGGGATGTTCATTCACCCAAGAGGGAGTCCACTGTGATAATAACAATAATCTCAAAAAGAATTTCTATAGAATTTTTCAGCTTACAAAACCTTGGACTGTGGTTTGTCTCCTGTGTGTCCAAGTGCTGAGTTAACACCCATCAAGGGGTTGGGGCTTCACCATCCTGAGCTTCCCTATAGGGGCTGTGGAAACCACCAGGCTCCATTTGATGTAGGTATTTTCAGAGTGGCAATTTCTTTTTTTGGGGGGGGCACATTGTAAAATCCATGATTAGACTGCAGACAGATGATGAGCTGCCCAGCCAGACATGAGAGCAAGTGGAGGTCATGGTGAGACCACCTTGCACAACTGCAGAGGCCCAGTGTTTAGACACTGAGAGCAAGGCCTGGGCATCCCACGTGGGTGGAAAATTCTTATTTGTATGGATCTTGGGATCAAGAGGCCCTGGGACCCCTTGGGGGATGTTTTTGTTCAATGTGATTCCAGTTGAGTTAGTTTTTCTTTTCTCTTTTAAGCCAAAATAAAACGTAAAGGCAAACCGAATACACAGCAAAAGAATGGAAAAACAAAGAGCAAAAATAAAACCATGCAGCATAAAGAATATGGTGAATGAGATGAAGAGAATCCCCAAGAGAAAGCATAAGTGCAGACCCAGTCTCCCAACACATACGTTGCATTTCTTCCCACAAGACTCAGAGCCAGATGAGGTCTGGAAGGTTCCCATTAATTTTTTTCTAAGGCCAGCTGGCCTGCCTGCCTGTCTGTCTGTATGTCTCTCCCCTACTTCCTCCCCCCACACCCTCTGAAGTGCTGGAGATTGAACCCAGGACCTTCTGCATGCTGGGCAAGTATTCCACTACTGACACCCTGTTCTAGCCAGGCCTCTCTTAACAGGGGGTGGGCGGCGAGTGAATGAGAGGAGGTCCAGAGCAAACCACCACACAAGTTTTGGGTCTGCCCTCGCTTGGAGGTGCCCACAGGCACCAGTGAGCACTGATAGAAAACGTGACTTGGGTGTGATCTGAACCCACAGAGGGGGAATTCATGCTCCTTGAGAATTCTGGTTTCTCTAAATTTCAATTAATTTGCTCCATGTGTAAGGATACCTGTGGCGCTGGGCTGCTTCAGGTCTAGCTCCTGTTTGACCTTCAGCAGGGCTTGCCTGATCCTGCTGCCTTCACACTCACTACAAAAGGGCTTGAGCGTCTTCCCACTCCTACAACTGCACATGAGGACCTACAGGTAAGCAGCACTAATGAGGTGGTTTGGAAATGACTAATGCTCCAAGTGGTGCTGTCCTGCCATCTGGAGATGGAGGGGCAAGACCATTTCTCATGGTTTCTAAAGCTTCCAAGGGAGAGTTCCCTCTTTGCTCAAGCCTACCCTTGCAGGCAGACATTCAGGGAGCTGGCAAACCTTTCCCTGATCCCTACTGGGGTTTCTGATGAACAGAATAATTGAGGATATGGGAAGGCTGTAGTCTAATCTGTTTTAAAAAGAAAACCCACTAATAAATACTACCATACACACAAAACTGGTTTCTTTCTTAGGAGAAGAACCAGCAGTGGGAAATCTGGCATATCTATGTGCCCACCAGTGGTGACTCTAGCCTAAGAGGCTCCGAGGCAGGGGCCCCTCCTCCCTGGCTAGCACCCTCAGAAAATGGCCTGGAGCTCTGGGGCAGTGCCTTAACTGATCTGCATCAAGTGTGGGGTGTTTTCCAGGGACAGCCCGGAGGTGCTGGGCTTGGCCTGGGAGAGGCAAGGTGGGAGATGGGAAGAAAAGGAGAGCCACGCACGCCAAGCTGTGGGTGAAGTTCAGAGGAAGCGGGGAAACAAAAAAGCAGGAGAGAGGCTCCCTACAGACAAGCGCAACTGCCAACGGAGGGGAGGCATCAGACACCACAGAGGAAATGTCACAGGGGAAGGTGGCAGCGGTGGCCCTGACAGAGTGAGCCAGGCCCCTGGGCAGTGGCCCACAGACCTGCCTCATCAGTGACATGAAGCAGGAGCACTGAACATAAAAGGAAGGCGATGGGGTCCTGCTCTTGGTGTATGTATGGGAGATGACTTGGTCTCTGGCTGGAACATGAATGAATCTGCCACTTAGCTTTGGGCTAGGCAAGGGGACAAAGACAGGAGTAATTTCTTGGTTGTGTTTTGTAAATTCTCAGTTCTCCCGCCAACTCCTGCCTGGTCTCATGGCCTAAACCATAGGGACCGATGGAGACACACTGGGAGATGCCACCTCCAGCTCAGGGCCGGCTATGGGGAGGACAGTGTCTCCGGGCTGCATGGGGAGGAGTGTGAGGGTAAAGGGCGGATTCGGGCTACAGATGGATGGAGCAGAGGGAATGGGAAGGGCCCATTTTTGGGAAAGCAGAGGAAGTCACCAACTTCAGAGCTGCGCTCTCCCACAGCTTGGAGTCCTCACAGGCCCAGCCTGTCCCCCATGCTCCTGCAGACCCTGCCAAGGTGACAGGAGTGTGGTGGGCCCATGGGGCTCTGTGAGACCTGCCTGAATTGATTGTACGTGAGTTGCCGTGGCAGCTGCCGTTCGAAGCACTAAACCCAGTGGCCACCATGGCTGTCGGCCTCCGACAGGCTGAACACTCGCCGGCGTCCTTTCCTGCCACTCCTGACTAGAGGGAAAACACAGCGACAGATCATAGAAAGCCTTTAACAATGGAACAGCAAAGGTGATGTAGAGACAGGGACATAGCAGAGACGGACGCAAAGCATTGACCAGAGCGAGGGGCAGGGCTGTGCCCCACTGCGGGCTCTTGGAAGCTGGTCCAAGGAGCCAGCCCCCCATGCAGACAGGACACTCCCACGACACCCTCCAAGAGGAGGCAGGGTTGGAGGACCTGAGAACCAGACCATCCACTCGTACGATTTAACTGGGTTAAGGACGGGGAAAGTGTAGCCCTGTTGGGAAGGAACGATTTGGAGTCAAAAGCAGCGTGTGGTCTTGGTCACAAACCTTAGCGGACAGAAGAACAGACTTGCCTGTCAGTATCAGCCAGGACCCACAGTTAAGAAACAAAATCCCCGCCCCCTGAGACTGTGAGAAGGGATGGGTGTGTGATTGGAGGCTCAGAGCCAAACCAGCTAAGCGAACGCAGCAGATTTCTGACCCCGACAGAGGAGGCGATGGTTCTTGGTGTTGGCGCAGGCTTGCTCAGCGATTTCTGGGAAAGCACAGGATGCTCGAGGTGTCCCTGGCCCCTCCCTCAGCCCAGTGGCAATGCTCTCGGGGCGACCTGGTGATCTGCACCTTGGAAACTCAAGAAGGAACCAGAGCAGGAAGGGCTGTGGCAGGGCCCAAGTGGCTGAGGGTGGGTGGCAACCAGCTGAAACAGTGTTAGGAGCATCTCGCTGTGAAGAAGCAGCTATGATCTTAGGGATGAACTCAGGTAAGAGCACAGCTAAGTGATGTCCCAGGAACAGTAATGTGAATGTGCTCCGACTCCGCAGGACCACAGGCAGAAAACTGCTAGAGTGGCAACTTTCTGTTATATCTATATTACCCCCACAAAGCAAGTAATGCCATGGAAAGACAAACACCTCTTCCTCTGGGTTTCTATCCTTGAAGCCTAGGAGGACTGAGGAGATGGAGTTCAGTGACATGGAGGCCACTCTCAGGCTGCCTGGGCCTCACAATGGAGGGGTGTGGGGTGAAAGTGATCCATTCAGACAAAGCACAGGGAGGAGAATGCGGGGGAGGTGCACTGCCAGGAATCAGCACCTTCTTTCTTTCTGGAAGCCTTTGGAGGGTCAGAGCCTGGTGAGCTGTAAAATGCACCTTTAAAAGAGCAGAGTGACCTTCACTCTGATGTCATTTTCTAAAAAACGACTTCTGGGGCCAGGGATTTAGCTCAGTGGTTTCACTGCCTGCTGCGTAAGTGCAAGGACCGGAGTTCGATCCCTGGTACCAAAAAAAAAAAAAGTAAAAAATAACTTCTGTCCTCTTCTCAGTAGCTCTCCCTGAACACATGTGAAATCCAGCTAATCTGGAGATTAGAGACGCAAGTGGCTGTTTAAGGAACTCAAGGTAGGTCCCAGAGCTCTTCTCTGAGAGGATGGTGTGCTTAGCAGGTTCCCACACAGAGAGCGAAAGTGAGCATGCGTGTGAGCATTTGCATGTGTTTGAGTATGTGCAATGTGGCACCTTGTGGGTGCACAGGGCAGCCCAGAAGATACTTGGGCCTGTTTTCCCCTTCCCACTATAAGTTCTCTGCAATTTCAGCTTCTCAAAACCAGAAAATGTTAAGGGGAAAAATGCTGATTCCAACCCTGTAATTTTCTCACTTAGGGATCAAGCTGAGGCCACCAGGCTGTTATGCTGGCTGTGTGAGCAAGACGCCTGGCTCCTGGACACTTAATGGTACAGGGTGTCCAGTTCTCCCACAAGGCACGGAACACCAGAGCACTTCCTTTAAAGGGCAGTGGTGCTGGGCATGGTGGCAAGTGCCTGTAGTCCCAAAACTTGGGGGTGTGGTGGTGGGGGGCTGAGGCAGGAGGATGGCTTCAGCCAAGAAGGTCAAAGCCAGCTTGAACTACATGGCAAGACCCTGAGTCAAAAAAAGAAAAAGGAAAAAGGTATGGATGAGATGGGGAGGAGCCAACCAATAGCTGTGGTGAGACAAAAAAACCAACAATGAATAAAAGCCCTTTGCTCCCAATCATCTCTAACTGATTCTTGGAGTTGTTAAGGAATTCAGTTTGGGCCTTCTCTGCAGTTTGAGGTATGCCTTGGTCCCCAACTTGAGCACCTACTCAAGAGCCACCTGTGGGAGCATCCACAGCTCAATATGCAGAGGGTACTAGGAGGCACGTGCTGCCCACACAGATGGGGTGGCAAATGGTCGCACTGCAGGGCAGCTCATCCCTTTCTGGCTAAGGGGACTCTCTGCCTGTTCTGGGCCAGGTCTGGGGACTTTTAAAAGATAGACTATCTCCTCGTCTTTACTCAGAAGGGCAGAATTTATAGGGAGCTAGGGGATGGGGACAAGATTCCACTTGTCTCCAGGAAGATGGAGGTCTTGGGCCTGGTGGACTCACGAGAGACCCAGGCTGCCTTTCTCATGGACCCCTGGCACTCACTCCTCGGCTCTCATCTCCAGTAAGGCCTCCTCTGGGAGAACTAGAGCCTTCCAGAGGTGTTCTGTGCTGGCTGCTGACACCTCCTGCATGGGCCCCTCTTCACAGTTTGTAACTACACACATCTGTGTGACCATCTGATGGGCCCTGGCTGCCCCAATCAACCGTGAGATCCAGGCTTTGCTTAGAAAAAGACGACTTATTAGGAACGAGTGTGGGGTACCTAAAGCCAAAGTAGAGAAGATCCAGGGAGACAGTCAGACTGGGAGACCACTGAGGACCGGGGTGATGGAGGGACCTCTCGGGCCAGGTCTCAAGGTCTACAAAACTAAGAGGGGTAGCCTGAGCCACTAAATCTGGGGATCTCCAGGGGAAGGCTCTATAGGAAGATGAGACATCTGCATTTGGGATAAACACAGACCTCTGTCAAACCCAGGCAGGAAGTATAAGGCCCCTGAGCTGGACAGAGTGGAGGCAGGTAACACATCTGAGCATCACTCAGCTTTACCCGCTGGTGTGGGTATGAATCCATATAGGCCAGCAGAGGAGACATGGCCTTCTGGGGTCTACTTTGCTGCTGATTTGGGGGGTCCATCAGGCCTTTACCTGATGGGCCCACACAGCCCAGCTTTCTACTACCTGGGGGTGTGCCAGTCCCCCAGGCCTTTATAAGCACAGCTTTTCAGCTGGGCCCCTGAACAATGGTGAATGTCAGGAGAGCTATGCTCCATGGGTTGCCTCCCACCAGGATCCCAACCAAGCCCAGGTACCTGAGAAAGACCTGGGACCTGCATCGGAAATTCTGCCAGGTTGGTTTAGAAGATGAAGTATGGGCTTTGGAGCTGCCAAGGATAAGGTTTAAATTCAGACTCTTGTGCTTGCTAGCTGCATGACCTTTTTGAGTCCCTGTGTTTTCAGTTGTACAGAGGGAGGTAAAGTATGGGAGCACCCAGTAACAGGGTCTGCAAGGTGCTTGTGGGCGCAGTGCCAGGGATTATGTGGGCCTGGTTTGGGGAGTACATCTACAGGGATGCCGTGCAGTGTGGACACCTGGGAGGGCTTTGCAGTGGCTGTGGCAGGAGCCCATGCAGACGTGAGTGCCTGGGTTATGTGAACTGCTAGAAGAGTGGAGGGTCATCCACGGCTCTTGAGAAATTTTAAACTTTAAAATTATTGCAAATAGTTGTGCAAGTTTAAGAGGTACAGTGTGATATTCTGACATATATTATATATGCTGTGTAATGATCAAATCAGGGTAAAGGACATTTCTAGCCCCTCGAAGGTTCCTTGTTTCTTTGTGTTGAGTATTCAAAATCTACTCTTCTAGCATTCTGAAATATACTATAAGTGACCATAAAATGTGCCATAGTTGCCATACTGTGCTACAGACCTTCCCATTTAACAGTATTTTGTAACATCTCTAATTTTTCAAGCTATCCTTGTACAATTTATGGTTTCGAAACCATGGCACAGAGCCTGGAACACTAGGCCTGTCTCATTACCAGGTAGATGGCATCTCTTGGGTCCTTTCCCAACCTAACACCTGACCATCAGAAGTGTGGCCTCAATGCCAGAGTGGCCCCTGGAGGGTGTTAGTTCCTGGCAGCTGCTTGCACCCTGGACTCTGGGGGCTCCATGAACACAGGGTCATGGATGCTTCTGATTTAGCTCTATACCCTCAGAAACCGCTCTGAGGACAGCTGGCCCCTTGGGAGCCAGATGGAGCAGCCGGCAGCTAGGGTGGATGAAACAGGATGGCAAGAGGCCCTCTTGTCCTCTCCAAGGATGCTACCTCTGGCGGGTTTTAGTAGGCCCCTGATGGGTGGAAAATCTCACCAGCAAGGTGTGCATGGGCAGCTAAGCACCAGGCTACTACTCAGCCAGTGACAAACCAGGCACTGGCAGAAGAGAGCCCATCCCAACAAAGGCTCCTGTCCTTTCTTCCTTTCTTGGCTTCCTTCTAGCACAGTCTGGTAGGATACCAGGCAGATGCAGGAACCATCTGGTTAGAACCACCGCTATAGGTTTTGTTTTGGGTGGACTGGGGTAGCTGACAGCTGGCCTGAAAGTTTAGCCTCAAGACCAAAGGAGCTCCTGGGCTGCAATGCTCTCTTCTTGTAAGGATCAGTGGTGTGTCCAAAGGCGTCCATTTCCCTGTGTGAGAGTAAAGCATGAGCTGCCCACCAGTTATCTTGGTGTCTGCAGAGTTGGACAGGCAGCTGTGCCTCAGGCTGTTTCTGTCATGTGGCATAAAAAATGAGGAGCTGTGCGCTTGCCTGCTGAGGCTGTACCGAATGGGAACAGACACCTTGGAGGTCCTGACTCTACCTATCGACTGGCACTACCCAGGCACCTGGAGTTGGGCTGACAGTACCTGGATCTGTGAGATGAGAAAACATGCGTTGGCACAGTGCAGGGAATGGTGGGGGCAGGGATGAAGGGACAAAGGAAGACCAAGAACAAAGAAACTCGAATTCACCACGGACATGAGGTCTTAAGAGTAGATGCAGCTGCGAAGCCCAGCTATCACGTTCAGGGGCACAGAGGCCCGATTTTGGTAATGTGGGTCCTGGCTGATTTGAGTTTGAGGCGAAGAAGTTTACGGCTCACTTAGTCATTGGCTGTGCCTCCTTAAAAATGGAAGAAAGGTATCCACAATAACATGGGAGAGCCTTCATCCCACAGCATTTGTCAATGTGTTTGGGAACACACACACAGAGATGTGCACAAACAAGCAGAAGGTGTGTGCACACAAGCACATGGACACACAGGAAGCAGCAGTGAGGGAAGAAGGGACCCTGAGGGCTGTGCCTGGACTGAACTTCCCAGCCACATGCCTGGGAACAGTGCTGGCAGCTGCTCAGATGGACAGCCAGGCCCAAACCAGGCTCAGAAGTCCCTCAGAGAGTGCAGTCACTCTCTGCAGTCCCCAACCCTGCACAGCAAGGGTCTCAGTGAGGGGCTGAGCATGCCCTTCCTGCATGGGCCTCACGATGGCACAGGAGACGGAGGTAATGTATGCCTCCCGGGGGACGCACAGGAGGGCCCTGAGTCCAAGTGTGGACACCAGGCTGGCTTAACTCTTTGCTGGGAAGGTAAAGGCTGCAAACATTGGAGAGAAAAGTACAGGTGCCCGGGAAGACTTGGTTCGCCATGCCAACATCCTGTGTCTCTTGTCATCATGCTTCATTCTACAACTTAACATGAATCGGATCTTGAAGTATGATAAGCAAGGGCTCTGGATGGGACCTTGCAGGGGCAGTGAAGAACATCAAGGGTCCCCAGTTGGGGGTACAGGCTGGAGTGACAAGGACCCTCAGACCTGGGGTGGGGGTGGTGCTGGGACAAGGAACACAGAGCTGGCTGGAGCCATCAAGCCTGCTCCTGCCTGAGCTCTGTTGCTGTGGCTGCATTCTGGGGCCTTGTCCACCAAATAAACTTGGTGTCCCTACTCCTGGGATCTTATGCAGTGCAGCCAGCACTCACGTGTGTGTGGCTCACGGCAGTTGCGGAGGAGGCAGTGGGGGTGGTAGGGTTGGGGTGTTGCATCTCCTTCTCTAGGCTGACTCCAGGGGCTCATGGATTCTCTCTGTGCTGTGTCTGAACTGGTCTAAAGTAAAGGACAGGAAGATGCGACTCCCACATGCTCACCTTACAGATAGTAGCAGGATGCACCCCGAGTCTGATGATTGTACCATACTGAACATTTAAAGAGGAGACTGGCCAGGTGTGATGGCACATGCCTGTAATCTCTGCACTCAGGAGGCTGAGGCAGGTGGATCACTGTGAGTTTAAGGCCGACCTGGGCTACAGGGTGAGTTTAAGACCATCCTGAACTACATAGTGAGACCCTGTCTCAAAAAACCAAAGGGGGGGAAAAAAGGGAGGAGACTAGCATGTGGGGTGGGAGGATTAGCAGGGACTTGATTCTTTTCCCAGAGACCCCTCGTGGGGACACCTATGGCTCTGGTGGTAATGACAGGTGGGCTTAAGAAAGGCCATCTGTCATCGGTCCCTTCAGCTCTGCAGGCAGTGGGGGAGGCTTTGCAGCGTAACAGCCTGAGCAAAGAGCTAAACCAGCCTGTAGGCAACACCCAACACCCTTGGGGTGGCAGTGTGCGTTACACACCATGACAAGGAGGAGCTGGGAGTTAGTGGTCATAGAGGCAACAGGTCATGGGGTTTTCCAGAGCCTCCCGCCCCTGAGTCACTCGGCCAATACCTGCTGGGCTCTGGGCTGCAGAGGGTGTGGAAGACGAGCCCCCCGAGTCACAGTGGCTGGTGCTCCCGCTGCCGCTGGGGCTCCCACTGGCGGAAGGCGGTGATGGTGATGACAGGGATGGGGAGCTGTGCTGGTTTATGCACTGGGCCACGGCAAAGCCTGCAAGACAACAGGATGTGATCGAGCAGGAGAACCGGCAGTGAGACACTGCTCCAAGGCTGGACAGGGGCCTCAGTGTCCAGGTGAGTTCCAGAGAGTCTGGGCCCATTGCCGGCTGTGAACTGACCTGGCTAGGGACTGACCTAGATGCAGGTGAAGCTGGGTTAGGGAAGAGGGTGCAGCTGCCACCATGCTGAAGGCGGGGGGTGGGGGTGGGGCCATGATTCTGAGCACCTGGTGTTGCCTCAGCAGGGCTGACTGTGCTCTGGAAGGGGAATTCTGGGATGCTGGCAGTTTACACAGAGGTGCTGGCGACCCTACAGGCAAAATCTTGGGGCCTCCGCTGACATGCCCACACTCTGCCCGAGGGAGAGCCCTGTACTCTCCTTGCCAGACACCTGCTCTGCACTGATTGGGGGGAGAGGTCAGGTTCAGGAGCAACAAAGGTTCTGCACAAAAGCTGCCCATGACAAAGCCGGGCATGGTGACGCACACCTGTGATCCCAGCACTTGGGAGGCTGAGGCAGGAGGAAGCACCGGGCATGTGAACACATTTGTTGTGTTTCTGGGTCTGCTTCCCCATGGTGAGCTGAGGGCATTGTCATCCGCTCTCACGATGACCCTCTGGACACAGCACGCCCAGCATGGCCATGGCACATGCTAAGTGCTCAGCAAATGTGTTTTTCCTAGTGAACCTCAGCCCTTTTTTCCAGGCCCCATGCTTTCCTGCAGACTACTGAAGACCTCTGCCCTTTACACTCTGCTTTTCCAGAGGGCAGTGGCTGCTGATTTTATTCACTAAGTCCATAAAAACTTCCAAGGAGCAAACAGCTTATCAATAGTTTCAGGAGCCCATGCAAACCATGGGCTTCCTGCTGCAGCCCTAGGAGCTGGGCAGGACCCACGGTGATGGTGTTCTGTGGCCCACTTCCTCTGGCCCCTAATTCAGAAGCCGAACTAACATAAAGGATGGGGAGCGAGCTGTCCTCGTAACAGAGGGGGACCCATCCTCCTGGCACTCTGTCAAGCCTTGCTACTCCCTGAGTGATTCCCTGAGCCACAGCCAGCCCCAGATATCACCCTGTGCCCCTGCTCACCCTAGACCTCGTACGTCCAGCTTCCAGCTGATGCCACTCCCAGTAGGTCCTCCAGGTTCCAGGCTCCTCCTTCTCAGAACTCAGGAAGGGGGCAGAGTGTTGAGCAGAGAGGAGTAGTTGCTCTAGAGGCTGCACGGCCTCTGTGCCCAAAATACCCTGCCAAGCCTAAAATATTTTACCTCCTGGCCCCAGATAGAAGAGGTGCTGAGCCCCAGTGCAGGTGATTTTTTTTTTTTTTGTACTGGGGAATGAACCTCCACACTGGGCTACATCCCTAGCCTTTTTTATTTTGAGACAGGGTCTTCTAAGTCACTAAGTTGCCCAGGCTGAGCTCAAACTTTCGATCCTCCTGCCTCAGCCTCCCAGAGTGCTGGGACCACAGACACGTGGCACCATGCCCAGCTGGAGGCCAGGGTTTTAACCATCTATTCACCTACTAGCTAAGAGGCCTAGACAAGTCCTTGCATCTCTCTTAGCCTCCTGTCCTCTCTTAGCAGATGGGACGTACTACCCCCCAGTCCACCCTTTAGGGCCATCAAGGAGGGGCTGGTTGTACTGTTTGTGGGAAGCTATTTTTGCCTGCTCCTTAGGTCCTTAAACATTGGGCCCTACTGATACCCTCAGCCAGGCTCCAGAGGCCGCGTAACCTGTGTTGACCTGGGCAAGGCCTGTGTGCGTCTCCCGGCATGGTGGGCGATCTCAGGCCTGGGCTGCTGTGTGGTAGGAGATGTTTCCTGCCCTTGCCCACCAGAGAGGTCTGCTATGGAGGGAGTGGCAGGATCACTGTCCTGGGAGTTCTCAGGGAGAGGCATTTGTGCTAGACTGTGTGTGGTGGGAGAACCCATCAGAGGAGCTGTGGCAAGCATCCGGCAAATCCAAACACTGCTTAGGAAAATTCCTTGGGGACAATCAGCCACAGCCATACGGAACAAGTTTTATAGCTGCTTACTTCTTAATCACTTAAAGTGGTAAACCCCTGAGTTTACAAGCTGTTTACTTGCCTTGAAAATGAATTACCCCTTAACAAATCAACATGTCAGGCGGCTTTTCCCAAGCTGCCTATTTAACAGAGGTCCAAGCACAGGGCCTGCAAGTGCCGTAAGAGTCAGGGTTGCTCCCTGTATGCCTGAGTAGAAGAATGACACAGTTGTGACCCGGGCTGTCACACACCTCTTCTCTGAGGACACAGGTCTCTAAAGCCCTGCTTTATTACCACAGCGTCATATACCTGTTTGTGATCATAACGTATCAGGAATGAGGTACATGGGGGAGCAGAGGAGATGGTAAAATTGCAGTCAGGATACTAGTGTTCCATCCCAAGGGAGGGAGGAAGAGAGAGAAAGAGAGAAGAGAGGAAAAGTCTTTGATTTAGGGAATGGGCTGGGGTCAAGCCAATAGACAGCAATAAAATTTGTATGTAATGAAAGTCGAATAGAAAAATTATGTCAACCTCTGGTCTTGTGCATTTGCAGGGTCTAACTGAGCGAAGGCAATGCATGCATCTGTCCCTCCCTGCTGCAGCTAAAACCCCCAACTGCCTCCTTTCCATTCTCCCTGCTAGGTGGTGCTGGGACCCTGAAAGGTACAGCAATTTTTTTTCTTTTGGCTGAGTGCCCAGTCCCCCACCCTGTAGCTTCAAGGGGTTCTTTCCCAAATTGAGGCAGCAACTGCTCTGAGAGTGTGCTTGCCATATCAGAGACAAGAGGGCACCCCTGTCCAGAGTGCCCTGGCCTCCGGTTCTTGCTCCATCCCAGTGAGGCAGTTCTGGAAGAACTAGCTGCAGCAGAAGTGCCAGAGGCTTTCTGAGCCTATGTCAAACCCACACAGATGGCCAAGTCCTTGCAAACACACAGACAAGCCAGAGATCATGGGATAGGTGACAGGCCTCCCTGAGATCTTCTCATCAGATAACATTCTTGGCTTCCCCTGGGTCTGTCTCAAGCACGGCCTATGAAATGTGTACCAAAGGTTGCACGGACTTGCACACCTTCTGCCTGCTCCACATCTAGGAGTCTATGTGGCAGAACTACATATGGAAGTAGTGAGGTTTGGTGCACTGGTGTGTAGAACAGGGGTGCTAGGAGAACAGACATATCCTGCAATAGGGAAGGTGGGTGCACTCCAATATGGCTAGATGATGAAATTCTTTGTTGCTGACAAGAATGCTAGCATAAAGAAAGAGTATGTGTCGAGGGAAATGTCTATGATGTAACAAGGGAGAAAAGGTTAGAAAAGCATGTCCCATATGTTCCTATTGAGAAAAATTTGGGCTATTCCTTGGCCCTTGTGCATGGCAGAGCTGTCCTCCCGTAGAAGTGGAGGCTATAGGCAACGAGAGAACAAGGTAGCTTTATTGAAGCGGGCTTTTTCTGTGCTTGTCTGAATTTTCTAAGATTTCTACAGTTGAATATGATTTTATTTTTTTGGTGGTGCTGGAGATTGAACCCAAGAGCTGTGCATGCTGGACAAGAGATCTACCATGGAGTCCAAACCCAACCCTGAGTATTATTTTAAGCCAGAAACAAGGGAGAATGAGGGAGGAAACACAAACTGGCCAGGGGCTGGACAGACTCAAGCCTGGACCTATCTGCTCTGGCATCTGTCTTGGCCTCTAAGGTTCTTTTCCCCAGGTTCCACAGGACCACCCTCCATCCCACCTCCCCAGAGCTGGGCCAGCATGATGCCTTGGGGGCAGGAGGGCCTGAGCCAGTGATGAAACTCATGGTCCACTTTCCAGCAGCCCAGGGCTGGCTGTGTGCTGGGAGGCTGGGGTCTTCCTGTCACCCTTTGGACCAGTTCTTCCAGTTATTCCGGGAAGATGAACTAATGCCCAACTCTCTAGCATTTGTTAAGCACAAAAAGCACCACAAAAAGGTCAGCCTTTTATTTTAGGCTCACTGATGGAGCACTGGGTGTGGAGTCACAACCCAGATTCGAGCCCAAGTTCTACCTGGACTGGCTTTGGGAGCTTGGATAAGCCCCTTTCTCCTCCAGGGGTATCCTAGTCTTCAGCTTTCACTGCCAAGAACCAGGTGACCACATGATTCATGACCCAGAGCTGGCATGGGGGTCTGGGGGACTGCATACATGTTTTCTTGGATCACATCATGTCTGTTGGTGTCTTTATTGTAGGTAGAAGCATTTGTACATTGAGTATTGTTTCTGTTTTTTTGAGACAGGGTCTCAATCTGTAATTCAGGCTGGCCTTGGACTTATTATGTAGCTCAGGCTGGCTTCAAAGTCATGGTGATCCTTCTGCCTCAGCCTCCTGAGTGCTGGGATTACAGACATGAACCACCACACCCCGCTGTACATGGAGATTTTCTGGACTTTTGGTCCTTAAAGAATGAAAAGATCTAAGGTGGGTGTGGTGGTACACACCTGTTATCCCAGCGCTCTGGAAGGCTGAGGTAGGAGGATAGAAAGTTCAAGCCTAGCCTGGGCAACTTAGTGACTTATGGAGACCTCATTTCAAAGTAAAACATAAAAAAAAGGGCAGAGGTTGTAGCTCAGTGCAAAAGCCTTGGGCTCAATCCCTAGTACCGGAAAAAAGCAAAGCAAAGCTAAGATCTAACATGGGGTTGGGGTGGGGGCTCCCCATATAGGTGGCCCTGGAGGGAGCTGAGTAGAGCTGGCTCATTCCCCTCCTGCCCTGCCCTGCCCATGCTGTGGGCATTTCTTTCATCACTTTTTAAAATCCTTGCATTCTTGGTCAAATCCAGGGCCCCAGGGAGGATCTACCTCCAGAGACTGCTCCAGCTAGGTCCCTCCTAGAGCCCAGAAGTATCCCATGGAAAGGAAGCCACCTGGCTCTTGCAGCCTAGGCTGGTCTTCAGACCTTGTGACAAGAACCACTGGCTTTCTGCCTTTGCAGGGCTGTCCCTTGGTCTGGAATTCCCTTTA